TTGTCAGATGGAAAGGCGACAGTGACTCGTTTATACAGAACCTAATACATTGGCATTTCATTCTTGAAGTGGTGAGGTCTGTGACTGTTCTAGACAGCTTAGACAGCGCTTTGGTGTTCTACTGGGAAAGGTGCCCTCTGTCCCTGGTGGTGCATGGTGCCTGAGAAATATAATGGCCTATAAAGAAATTCATGTCGAGCAGTAGTTTGAAAAATGTGATTCTATTTGAGAGATAGGCAGACTGACTTCTGGGTCTCTTGAGAATGATCTTAAAGCAGTTTGAGTGTCTTGGAGGATTAGAATCAATACTTTATTACATAGTATTATATGGAGTATTAGAGTTAAGTGTTCTCAGAAGTCAGTATTCAGCAAGAGAGAGATTGTGGATCCTGGAAAACAGGTAGACGTTGATTTGTATGAGGTGCACAAAAGTCTCTGAATGAGATGAGATGAAAACTTCACAGGAGATGGATTCATCAAAAATGTCAAAATAGATGCCATAAGCTTAATTCTCAAGGTTTTTATTTTAATCTCATTATTTACTGTTGATTCAAATTAACTGCAGTCAAACTTTTATAGTGATAAGTAACTGTCAGCAGTCTTTTCTGGGTCTGAAATGCAAGCCTTTTGTTTTCGTGTCATCTCTACGTGCATAGCCGTCTTGGGGGGAAAGCTTTTTCCCGCTGCCTGTGCCATAGAGCCTGGGAGCATGTCACTTGTGTGTTTAGTACAGTAAAACCTACATATAAAGCCCCTCTCTGCAAGTCCACCCATAAGTGAAAGTCATCTCCTTTCCTGCTTCCTCAGACAGAGAACTGAGAGAGTTTTAAAACATGAACAGAAACCTGAAATATTCTGACTGTCCTTTACTGTTGCCTTTTTTACTCGACAGTGGACTACTGCATTTGATTGATTTGAATCCTGCTTTTATGGTTAAATTTCACCAGGTTGATTTAAAGCTGTTGCTGGGAAATTTTAGGGGGGCCTCTTTTATACAAATCATGTGACCCTAGCTAGCTCAATTGTTTCTGTCCCACAAAGAATGAAAAGACCTTCAAATGAGATTTATCAGAGTGTTTGATAAACTGAACAGTTAACAAAACTGTTCTTTGTTTAATTCCACAGAGTAGGCTGGTTAATGCTACATGTGTTTTGAGGAGTAAATAACTATCGCTAACAGATATTGACCACTAAAATGCTGCTGGCTAAGGAAAGTATTTCCAGACATGAACCATTTAGAACATCAGAACAGCTGCATTGGGTCAGACCAAAAGTCCACCTGTTTGGTCACAGATACCGATGGAAAGATTGTATCCAAAAGGACATGCATAGTATGTTCTTCTCTTTCCTTCAAAGATGCTTCCACTAAGATGATTTTAGGAACTTCTTCAGAGATTATGTCTTTGTGTTTAATAGTCATAGGTGGGATTTTCTTCCATGTTTGTATCTAATGTGTTTTTTAACCCATCTAAATTTTTGACCTCTATAAATTCTAGTAGGAATAAATTCTGCTATTGAGTTACGCCTTGTGAAAGGCATATGTTGATTTTTGCTTCTCTTAAACCTGCTGATATCATCTGATACTATGTCTGTAACACAACACCTTTCGTAAGGAAACTAAGGCAGAGACTACTGATGGCAGTGTCAGAGACAAGACAGGAAGTGCTGTGATATGACATCCTGCCCTGTGCTTGGAACATTACATTGCAATTCAATCCTATAATCCATAAAATTATTCCCTTATTTGTCTGCTGTGCAGCAGCATGCTGGATAAAACTGCTCCGTAATAGTGCTTTGAAGAAAAAGTTTACATAGATGTATCCATCTAAAATATTTATGTTTTATTTACTGTAGTAGCTTGTTGATCGTCAGATCAGAGAATGATCAGCAAAAAAATATTGATCATGCCAAAATGAAGGAGCATAGAAGCAAGCAGACCAGCCCCTCAATTTTGTTAAGGACTGTAGGGCGTCCCTTAGTATGACTGTCAGACCTCGTGATGATGCTCTCACTGCCTCAACCTTGTACTGGGTAGATGGTGGCAATGGAGTTTGAAGAAACAGCAGCAGCCTCTGTCTGAAGATACCTCCATAGTATTGATCCACTGATGCTGCGTTCTCATGACAGTCCTTCCTCTTTCAGTGTGGCTCCAGGTTTATCACCCACATTAGTGCTCTGAGGAGAAGATGCTGGGGAAGGGGAGATACTGGAAAAATAGCAGCAGTAGGAGCATAGGGAATAAGAGGGAAGGAGTCAGCACTGGAACTTGGCGTTAAAGGAGGGAGAAAACAGCATGGGAAATGTGTGATAAAGGAGAGAAGTTCTATGGAAAGAAGAGAGAGGAGAAGACAGCAACAAAGAGGCACCGCTTAAAACAAAGCTGTCATCATCTGGAGAGAATGCTTCTGCCATAATGGAGTTTGTCTTCACATTGTAAGATTAACTGCCCTGTGCTTATTCAGAGCTTGAACCCATCCTCATATGGTGTTAAAGTAACTTACTTTGTCATAGTTTAAGATCCATAGGTCTAAGTGAAATGGGCTCAAGTTGCACCAAGGGAGGTTTAGCTTGGGTATTACAAAAAAAATTTATTGAAAGAGTCTTGAAGCATTGAAACAGGCTGCCCTGGGAAGTGGTGGAGTCACCATCCCTGGCAGTGTTCAAAAAACGTGGCACTTCGGGATATGGTTTAGTGGTTGTGGTGATATTGGGTTGGTGGTTGGACTTGATGATCTTAGAGGTCTTTTCCAATCTTAATGATTCTGTGATTCTAATGTAGAGGAGAGCTGCAGCTTCTTTCATGATGTTGCAAGAGATGTTGCAAGGCATTACTCTCTTAGAAAAGTATTTTAAGTGACTACCAAGTATGTAAGCAGAATTATAGTATAGATATGCTGTCAGTGAAGTTTTACATTTATGACTCCTAACATGTTGCAGTTCTGTGGAACAAATACATGAAATATGATTTAAAGCAGTAGACTGAACTTGATCACAAAAGTTTTGTCCCTGCTTCTTCCATAGAGGTGTCTTAAAGTAGTTGTTAAAAATAGACTTTTAAATAATCAACTTTTTATTATTTCCCGTTTGGTCCCCATGTGTTGCCAGGTCTAGTCGAGAGGTGACATCCCTGCCCATAACAGGGAGGTTGGACTAGAGGATCTCTAAGGTCCCTTCCAGCCTAGGCCATTCTATGATTCTATGATTATAATGGAGAAATAATAAAATTTCACTGATACCTCCGTGTCAGACAGTGCTGAAAACACTGGGATGACTGCTTGCAGAAAAAAAAACAAACAGAAAACCCACTTGTATCTTTTACTTGGTTTGTCATTTTCAGCTGCTCTCTAATTGGTTCTTTTAGTTCCTCCCAAATTATCTTAATTCATATTCTTTTAATGTATAAAAACTAAGTCCTTTTGAATAGAACAACTGACGAGACTACTTCTAACCTTTGTACGAGTTAGTTATCTTCCATATTAACCTTGAAATTGTAGGCTTTAACTATAATTTGTTCTTGGATTATCCAGTGAAATAAAGCTTTTTATGTTGCTAGTTCCATCATCTCTTTGTTTATTTTCTGTATTTCTTCCTACCATTTTAATGCAGTCTAGTTTCAGAGAGTTTACAAAAACTTTTAAGAAACATTTGCAGGGTTCCTGGTTGTTGCAGACATCTTCCATGAGTGAAGAAATGTGATGCAGGCACACTATACACTGAGCAGTAGAATCAGAACTGCATGTAATTGCCTGATATTTTAAGCGTTATGCTGTGTTTCAACAGGTTGAATGCTCAGTCTGATGGTAATTTTAGGCATGGAGGTATTCCCTAGCTGGTGTCATGTGCCTGTGGTTGAATTTCATCCAGTGGAAGTTGCTGAATTACTGTTCGTGCTGAATGGTGCCTACAAGGCACTGTTTTGAGCAAGGAGATGGGAAATGCTGAAGAACATTTTATGTCCCAGGGAAACTCAGCCTTTTTTAGGCACTACAAAAGCTGTAATGTTTTCTGGTATAATGTAAGCCCAGACAAGACTAGTTTTCTTTCTATCTCTCTGTCACCTTGAGGAAGAAACATGCCTGGTGACATGGGAGAGAAGAGTCCTCTTTTTTAGTGTCCCACTTTTTTCTTGCCCTTTTGTAGAATTCTATCTACAGCTAAGAAGGGCCCCATGCCAGGCACATTGATATTCACAGGCTGCTGCTTTCTGCCTCTTACTCAGGCAAGGAAGCAACAAGCACAATGCTTGCCCATGACAAGGAGTCATTAATGTGTTTTAAGGCATTCTGAGATTACAGTACTGGGATTGCTGTCACTCACAGGTGACAGATGTTTTAGCTGCATATAAAACATCCATCTGCTTTAGTGTTGGTCTGTATGAAATACTTGAATAATATGGTTGAACTATCGGACAAAATAAGCAGTAATTCTGTTTGATATTACTTGTCAAACAGAAGAAGCAAACTAATAGTGTTGTAGGGCTGGGTGCATGCATATCAGTGTATATAGTTGGCTATAATACTCTTCTGTCCTGTGTACAGTTTGTCTTGTTTCAGTCATCTTTCTCTGCTTATTTTGATGACTGTATTTTTGCAGACTGTAGAAGAGATTGAGGGCGTACTGGGACGCGACCTTTATCCGAATCTATCTGAAGAGCGATCTCGATGGGAAAAGGAGCTAGCTGGCTTGCGGGAAGAGAATGAAAGCCTCACAGCCATGCTATGTAGCAAAGAAGAGGAGCTGAACAGGACCAAAGCCACCATGAATGCTATTCGTGAAGAAAGAGACAGACTGCGTAGAAGGGTAAGGCTGCTACATAGATGGTGGCTTCTTGTTCCTCCTCTTTAATTTTGTCACCAGAACAAGTTCCTTTTTTATCTCACTTCCTGTACTGGCTGTATGTGTTTTTGTTTTTAAAGCTAAACCGTACACATTACGGAACTAGGACAAAATGGAACATAATTGAAAAAAAGTGTGTGACGTATAGCCAAAAGGTGTACCACAATCTCACATCAAAAATCATGTGTTAACAGAAAAGCTAATATTCATCTCCAAGGAAGCATATGTAACTTGTCTATAAAGAAAGCAGATGTTCATTTAGTGACTTTTCCTTTGAGGCATTTTTTCCTGTAAACAACAAATATTTCTTTGTTTTTGATGGGAATTAAGTTTGTGATTAGGAGAAAGAAAAAGAGCAGGACTCCTGTCAGTGGATAATTGTTCTCAGAAATGAACGAGTAGTCCCACCCATGTCCTGTCCCCCTGTCTACAAGGGATGCTGCAAGATCAGATAAAGGCCTTGTGTTTTGTGTGGAATCCAAAGTTAAAAAAAGAAAAGAAGTGTGTTCACAAAAAAGATAGAACTCAAGACAACATGACCTCAATCTCTGTTACTTTTAAAATTTGTTAAGTTTATCCCTGTTAAATCTGCCCAGGTTTGGCCAGATAGGAAATAATTTTCTTTTTAAACAGGAAGTTTGAGGTTTATGTTCATTTTGAGTGACAACTTAGACCACTGTGTCTTGGTAAAATTATTGGAAATGTTGCTCTTTACCTACTGCCATTTGATGGACCTTTTATGCAAATACTGCGTTTCTAAAACAACATTGTTGTCTAGTGGCTGTAACATTTTAGCATGAAGCTATGTCTTGTGACACTTGCAGTCCTCAAATGTCGAGCCACAAATTACCTTTACAAAACTCTCTTAATACTAGAAAAAGGTATGTGTGATGAGAGAAGAGTAATCTCCTGTCATATAAGACAAGACCACTTCAACATTTCCTTTGCAAAATTTACTTTTATTTTGTACTGTATGTGTGAGTTGTTGTCAGTCCTGAAGTTTTTTGATTGGTTTTATAGTCATATTTCTTTTTAAACAGAGGTGGTGCTATCCCTTGCGCTACAGAACTGGCATTTATGCACCTGGTGAATTATTGCAAGATTGGGGTGAGGAGGAGGAGGTGGCAAGCAGGCAGAGAAAAGAATCATATGCTTCTTTTTTTCTCTTACGCAAATGCAGATATTGACACTACAGATGGTACAAACCAATAAAGGAGTATCAAAAAAAGAAAAAAATTAAATGGCTTTCAGGATGAATTAATAGAAAAATATTTAAATTTTGAGAAGTATAGAATGCAAGTTAAGGTACTTAAAAGATTGATTACAAGAATTTGTGCTGACAACCAGAAGCTCCTCAGAAAACAGAAGAGGGGAAAGAATTGGTGTTTGTACCCTTCAGGGATCAACATGGCTGACCATTTGATGCATGGTGGTAAATTCAACCCTACAATATGCTAGATAAGTTATTTTCAGTAGAGATTGGAAAGACTCTGTAAAGAATAGTGAGATCTGATCTGGAATTTTATATGTAGTTCTTATCTTTTATGCTTGAAAAGGTTTGATTTAAGTTTCAAAAAAAATAGTGTAGAAGATGGTCAGAGAAATGGACAGTTTACTTGGAGAAGTGACTTAAATAGTTTTTCCTGTTCAGCCTGGCAAAGCAAAATCTGAGTTTAATTTCTCCTTGCAGTTGCTGGAGAAAGCAAGTAAGAATGGGAGCTAATGGCTGTTCAAATTTAGGAACAAAACTGGAGCAAGAACAGAGTAATGTAAACTACTTGTGGCTATATTAGGCCAGAAATTACACTATGAGATGCCTAACAGACAAGAGGACTGTGGTTCTAAAGAAAGAGTAAGGAGTAAGGTTACCAACTAACTCCTTTGAAAAATGAAGCTTTAAAATATAAAAGGTTATGTTTGTATAATGAAATGTATGACTGTGCAGGGATACCTGTTAAAGCCAGGATGGTTACTTTAGGATTGTATCCAAAGGAAAGCAAAAAAAGAATAATTTTAATTGGCCCAGTTAATACAGCTGCATTGATTTTGGAGCTGGCCTTAGTATCTCTGCACAAAACTGTGACACTTTGGCTGCCAGACAGAAAGATTAGATGATGAGGAAAATGCTGTTTAGTTCTATTTGTGCAGATACAGCTTGACTTGATCAGTCCATCGGAACTCCCAGTAGACCAAGCATTTGTGGAGCCACACAAGTACTGACTGTTACTGAATATTTCAGTTTCCTTAGTACAGGCAGGGCCTTGGGCTAAAAGGATCATGTTAATCATGTTGGTCCAGTAGTTGCTGGCCTGTTGATCGGAACTGTTGCAGGAGTGTTGCACTTCTCTCTGTTATGGAAGCATCTCTGGTGGAAACGGCTGAGGGTATCACCTTGTTTTATGTAAGTAGCTAGAGAATTTGGCAGGTAATACCAACAGGGGGATGTTGCTGGTCCAGATTGTGTTCAGACACTGACTCTGGAGAGAGTAAATCTTGAATTGCTCTGTGAACTGTCTTCCATATAGAGCAAGCCAGTTTAAACATTCATTCTTCTTTAATTAAGGAAATTCTTCATGGACAGATTGGGTAGACGTCTTGCCCAGTAGACAGAGGGTTAATCTTGGGTTGACACAAGAGCAGAACAAAATCAAACAGCTTCTATATTCAGGCACAGCTGGCAGAGAGGTTTTTTCAGCCGTTTTCATTTAGATTGCACCTATAGAGGTCTTTATTGAAATATGTTCTTTAATGTTGTCCTGAGCTTGCAGAACAACTGGTTTATTGCCCCCACCAGAGAAGTTTGTTCATGGCATATGACCCTGTCAGCAGTGCTATGTAATTGTTGCCGTGGAAACCATATTTGCATTTTTAATGTAACTTTGTGTCCATAGTTGCAACAAAATAAATGTTTTCTTTGACCTATTAATACTTTCTTTATGCCACCTGAACTCAAAGTCACTTCAGATTATTTCCCTGGAGAGTGGGAAAGGAGATTCAACTAAAATTTAGTTATTGTTCTTCTCAAATTAAATTGGGTGAAGCGAATAAGCTTGAAGTTGACCAGATCAATAGCTCTGTTACTTTAGACCAATGTCTGTAATCAAGCAGAGTGCTTTCAATACATTTTTCTCAGGCTTGTTGGAGATTTAATTTAATTAGGTATTTACTGCATTCGGTTAACAGATTGAGCTGCTTTCTAGAACGGTAGCTAAGAAACAACATACATATGGAGTTTGTTTCTCGCGGGTCATTAGTAAATGAGGTAATCGCTTATTTCTGTTGGGTGCCTGCAGTGTAGCATCTAATTTCGTAACACAGAGGTTTATTTTACCTCTGTATGATACTGCCATTTTAAAAATAAAGTCTAGGCCTGTCAGTGCCCTAGAAACTGCTTACGCAAAGCTAGCAATAATCCTGAATCCAATAATACAGATATGATGCTTTGAAACTTCTGTACCAGTTCATGGGATTAATATTTTTATTACATGAGAATAAGGTTGTAATCAGATCAGCAATATTTACAGGTGCTATATGTGGTAACAGGCTTAAATAGTAGTAGAAAAAGTAGTATTTCTGTTCTTACACAAAATCTCTTATTCACTGTGGGAGTCAGATGAGCAGCACTGATACAGCATATAAACTGAATCATGACTGCAAAGTAAAAATTGTGGGTTGTTTTTTTTTAGTTAGTGGCCATGAAAGTTGCCAGCAGAGTAGTGCCTCAGCATAGTCCCAAGCAGCCTGTTGGCATAAGAAACAATGGGCGTGGGCTTAGGCTTCCCTGAGGCTGTTCTGAGGAACTAAGTCCACAGTGAAAAGATGGTTCCAGCTCTGGAGGTCTGCTAAGTCTGTTCTCTGCATAAGTCTTATGTCAACTTGTTCAGTTAATCAAATGCTTTTAGCTGTAAGGATTATTCTCTATCTGTTCCACATTCAGCTGAATTCACCAAACTGACCAGAATAAAAACAGACTTAAGATTTTAGCTATCTCCAGCTTAAGACCTTCATGAAAACATAATCTGAAGAGGAGTAGAAAAATGCCGCTTTAATGCATGATGCCTCTGCTGCCCAGATTGCCCTCATTCCAGGAATCTTCATTTTAGCATGAGGACTGTCCCAGAATACCTTGTTCTTGAGAGTTGAAACATACCCAAACCACAGCAGGAGTCAGATCGTTGGCCTCACAGACATTCTTAAGACCACACTGTTCTCGGGTGACACAAAGCTGGCACAAGCTGCTCAACTGTCCTTGTTTTGGCATCATTTGTATTGTGATCAGAAGGTATTATTTCAGATTGCTAGAGAGCACTGACCTGTTATTGGCCCTTAGAGATTATTATCAGTTTGCTCAGCTTAAAGTGATCCTTCAGCTGTTCTGTCTCCTTGTCTCTTGGTGAGGTAGCAGCCAAAAGCTATTTGTATTCTCCTCCTCCTTCAGTTGCATGGTATTTGCTTATGCAGCAGTATCTTCCTGTAGCTGTTAATGTACTAGAGCTTTCCTTCCGTTTCGAAGCTTGTATGCAAATGTGTAGTGATTAATCTGAAATTAAATGAGAAAAAGCCTCATATAGGCTTACTGCCTTCACTTGTGTTTGTTTCTGCTGTGTGCTAGCCTGGATCAGAAAGCTTCACTTGTGCTCAGAGCTTTTAGGGGATCCACCCTTCACCTGCCGTGTTACATCCTCAGGTTTCCTTGCTTTACATCATTTATGGAGATGCGGTACTCACGTATTTCTGTGTGTTTCTTGAAAGTAGACATCTTTGCAGAGAGGTATTGTAAATGTGTCCTTTGAACTGATCAGTGCAGATATAAACTCGTTCAGCCATGGAGAATTCATTGAGGATATGGGACCTTATAAACACCAGGAAAGACTTCTCTACCATATACAGTCAACGACAACAGACAACCTGTAGGAAATCAGACCGTGTTATCTCTGGTGCTCATGATTTAAGAAGGGCTGAAAATAACCTGGTAGAAAATAATCACCACTGGGCCTGATGGAAAAGTTAGGAGTGCTCTAGGTGAGCAGGGCCCTGACTACTCAGAGCAGCTTGAATTGTCGACGCTGGGATTTCATTTTTCATCTTCACCTTCACAAATTTTCATTATGCATGAATAAATTTGAAAGTGAGAAATCTATTCACTCCCTGTGGTTTCTTATGCTTTATCTTCCTCCTCTGTATAACAGAGGAAAAAAGAAAATTAAATGGTATTAAAATGAATGGGAAAAAATGTTATTACTTGAAGGCCTCAGAGTTACGGCATGATGAAACACGTCACAAGCCAAGTAGAAAGAAAAGAATCACAGGCATGCCCCTTATTTGAAACTGGTTTAGGAACAAAAGCACCACATGCCCTTTGAGTGTGGAAATCAGTGACAAAACCAGGAAGTTTATAGCTGTATTTTTTTTGTTTAGGATACATTAACAAATCATGTAGTTGTGAATAGACATGTGTAAAATACAAAGAGTAAAAACATATTTCTTAGATTCATGATTATTGTTGATGTTTGTATTCCACTAAAGTATTTTTTGTAATCCATTATGCATTTCTGCAAATGTCTGTGGTGCCTGTTAATCACTTACAGAGTCTTTCATAAATCCAACATTACCGTGGTATGTCAGCCCCTTTTCTACCCATGCTCTTTTTGTTAAGTTGTTTAGGTACCCATGAGAAACTATGTTTTATTTTGCTCTGTTTCTTAGTCCAGTTCTCGACATTCAGAGCAAAAAATTAGAAATGCAGCTATACAGTTGGTTCATATTGCTAAACGTCAAATACTAATAAACAAAATCTCCACTTATTTACATTTATATTAATAACTTATGAACATGTGGTTGCACCTGATTTATCTTGGATCTAGGCTGTCTATGGCTCTGATGCCTAATAGCTCTGTTGCCTTGTGCTTCACCTCTTTCGAAGGTTCCAGCACTTCTTTACTTCTGTAATGCTTTGGACTTCCTCCAGCTGGTTAGAAGATCTTTGCTCTTTAGTTGTTTTTTTTAATTATGGATTTCACAGATGTTTCCCTGGATTTCTCATTTTTTTCCTCTAGTCATGTCTTTGATCACATAATTAGATCTTCCTGCCAGCCACTTTTCATCTCAGTTTAGAGTTTTAGGACTTCATGGCAATTTTTATATCTTTCTAGCTCTTCCAGCCTTTAAACTTGTATGATGCGAGGGCTAAAGAAGTCTTTATATCCTTCCTTGTTATTCCTCCCTAACTCACAGATGCACGTTTTCCTGTCACGTTTTTTTGGTCTTTTGGTTCTGTTTCTTTCCTTGTCTTCACTCATCAGATTTTCCAAATTTTGTCATCCATTTTCTGTAGAGTCTGCCTTTCCTCTCTCTCCCATTTCCAAGTGTTTATTTCCTGTGTTACCTTCTTTCTGCTAATACGTATAACCATCAGTATCTTTTCTGTTACACTGTTAACAACACTTAAGATTGGTAGAAGTATTGAGCAGGGGTGGTCAGTCAATTTTTAGTCACAGTTATTAAACTAATCTTTTCATAACATGTGCATTCAGCAATCCAGGGAAGAAACTGGGTCTTCTGAACTCTTTTTTCTTCTTGATTCCTGTTCTTTGGTCTGCCTTTATTTTTCCTGTAGAATTACTACCAGTGTGGAAAAGTACTTTATGAGGAGATAGTTCATACTGCTCTACTTACGATGGGGGTTTTGGTGACCAGAAATAGTTACCTAAGCTCTCTCTGGGCAGTCTGGGGGGTGGGCAACCCAGTCGTGAGATTCTAGCTTGGTGAATGTGTGAATTGTGATACTGGTGATTTTAAAGGTCGGACAAACTTGCCCTGTTTATTCTGCACAGAATTACCATCCAGTACTCAGCGTTGCTAAAGTTGGTGCAGTTATTTATAGCAGTCAATTCAGCATGTAATTTCCAAATGAAGGCCTCAATCAGTAAATGCAGCAAGAAGCATGAATAACCAGACAGTTTCTTTAAGTTGTAGTTGCTTATATGCATAGATTGATAACTGTGCTGTGCTCTTGAGTTTTCTTTTATAAATACTTTCCTGAGCAAAACCTTTCCTGGCCACGGTCTTAGTTATGTTCATTTTTGTTTGTATTGCTAATGCTATTTCACAGATCCTTAAGTCTAATCGGCTTTGTAATTGTGGCAAATAGTTACTGCACAGTAATATTATATATAGACTAAAGGAAGCATATCTGCATTAAAGTTTTATATAATATCGTCCTTACACACAGAGTGTTTTTAAACTTTGGAATCAATGAATGCTATCATTTTAAGCAGCTTTAACATTTGGTTTCCTGGCTGCCTGTAAATGTAGAGTGTTACTTAGTTTTTTGCACTACAGTCTTCCAAGACTAGCTTCTGGACGTAGGTGAATATTTTAGCAATTTTGATGTCAGATATTGAGGCAGGAGTTTGATTTTATGAAGAATACGCCTCTGGAGATTTCCTCTTTGTTTGCTTTTAAACAATGCCGTAACTTAAGCACTTGGGGAATTTAGTTTGGAACAGCCAGGGTTAAAAGAAATAGTAATAAATGTGATTTTGATTTAGTGAAGTTTGGAAGTTGCTTTTTTTTCAGTGTTCATGCCACAGTAGGAATCCTATCTGCACTGGCATTCCACATCTGCAAGCAGAAACATACATACATGGTTTATTTCAGTTTTATGCATATCAGCAGACTGAAATGATTGGTTTGCATCAGTAGAGCACTTCTATCCTTAAGGTTTGCATTAGTGCAGCTGTACCCATGTTGAAATTATATATGTTTGTATGAACAAAGGAGGCCTCAGCTACAAATATATAGAAGATACATACTATGAATGTGCACTTTATACACTGTGTTCGGTTAACTTCATGATGTGATTACAGTTAAGATGTATAATTCTAGGGCAAGCACTCATGCTCATTTTTCAGGAACTTAGATTAAACATTGGGGATTTGAGGTTTTGCATACTTCATTTTTTTTTCTCCTGACAGACAAATGGAGTTGTTTGGATTCATTCTGTTTAAGGTGTAGCACTCTTCCACAACCAAACAGGGAGGTTACTGGTGCAGATAGCATTAATGTACTCGTATTGATGCCACCTACAGCTTTTTTTTTAGCCACATGCAGTTGTTCTGCTCTGTTACCTAGCACATGGTGTTTTTATCTCCTTTGTAATTTGCATATACCTGAATGTTCTGATATTTTGACAGTAAGTCCTCAGGCAACGTGACCTCCAGTTTGCACATAACTGAGGGATAGGCAGGAAGAAGAAGCAGCAGACTGTAGGAGATCATAGGAGATGTAAGATACTGCTTTGTTGACTGGAGACAATTGCACCTTGAACTCTTTGCTCAGCACAGTAGGGTGAAGAGATCTATATATGTAGGGCGAGAACATGCTGACTGCTGCTTCTTCAAGCAGAGACTGCTAAAGCACTGACCATGCATTTGATGAGCCAAGCCCTGAAGAAAGCCTAAGCTTTAATGCAGCTTCAATTCTGATATTTTTTCACTAAGGGATTTAAGCTTGCTTCATCAGTTCTTTGTGTAAATGTGTTGTATATAGTATAAAATCCCACTTTATTCAAGAGAATAGGAATCAGAGTTGAATTTCATGCTGCAGGGGAATGTCAAAATGGCTGACCTTTTATTCCACTGGGCTTGCAAAATTCCACCAGTTCCATTTTGCAGATGGACTGCTCCAACAAGATCAGCATAGCCACTTGCATATTAAACACCGTATTCAGGGAAATTTTCATGTGATTGCCTCCCCCTCCTCTCATCTCACACTCTTTGTGTGATTCTGTGGGAAAAATGAGCTCTGTCGTTTTTCCTGGTGCCATAATTATTGTGTTAAGCCGAGCATTTATTCTTTTTCTCTTAAGAATTATTCCAAGGTAAACAGTATAATCTCTAACTCTGCTACAGTTTGGCCCCCACAGACTTTTTTTTTTACCCTTCAATCCTGAAAATCTTTTGACGTCAGTTCAGCAAGTATTTGATGTGTTATGAGGGCTGTGCAGTGTTTGCCATGTATGTTTACTGCAAGCTGCTACAGGCTGTTGGTTGCGTACTTTGCTGGCGTTTTCTTGTCTGTACATTACTTACCGTTCAGGAGCTTTTCTTAACTGTAGTTTTGAAAGCATGATTAACATTTCAATTTCTTTGATCTTTAAATGTGACAAAGTCATCCTGTGATGTGTTTATAAGGAGTTTTTTCAACATGGGAGCTTTTCAATAACAGCAGGATCTTAATTTCATTTGTTTAGGCATCATAATCTTAGGCTGGAGTGTTACCTTCACCCCAGAGAGAACAATTTCTGTGCATATAGTACACCTGCACTGAAGGCATTCTATAAAACAAGCTGAAACTTTGTGTAATTACTTTACAGTGTTACATTTGTGTATTTCCACATTGTAAATAGTAAAAAAAACTGACCACAATGGAATATTAAAAAAGCCTTATTCACCTGCTCCCCACGTGAAAGCCAGGCAGCCACTGCAGGACGAAGCACAGCTTCTGTGCTCAAGCCAGAAGCAATTAGGCTTGGCTAGGCAATGAGAAAATCTCCAAACTATTTAAACCACAAAAGCGGAAAAAACCAAAATGTTATGTTTTATTGCAGGTTCGGGAACTGCAAACGCGTTTGCAGAGCGTGCAGGCAACAGGCCCATCCAGCCCAAGCCGTCTGACGTCCGCCAACCGACCCATCAACCCCAGCACAGGAGAGCTGAGCACAAGCAGCAGCAGCAATGACATTCCCATAGCCAAGGTGAGCTGTTGCATGTTGCAGCAATGCATTTCGTTATCTGAGGGAAGCAGGCTTCGTTTTTCACAGCTGCCATGCAAGTGCGTGACTAACTGGGAGATAGCAAGAATCCCCCGAGACGGTTCTGGGGTCCTAAGCCACGCCCATGAATCTGAGCTGTGCAAAGTAATTAAATGCTAATGATTGTGATTCTCTCAGTTACAACACAGCTGTCAATTTTACAGTAGTTTGTAAGTGTAGGTTTGAAAGTGTAGCTTGTGAACAAATACATTTTGTTTCATCTTTATGGAGTGTGGGTTTCTGACTTACAGATTGCTGAAAGAGTGAAGTTGTCAAAGACAAGATCAGAGTCATCATCATCTGATAGACCTGTCTTAGGATCAGAAATCAGCAGCATAGGGGTAAGGACTGAAAATTATGCGTGTGCGTGATTTCTTTTGAAGATGATCCATGCTCTGTTAAAAGCAGCATTGTTTTCTTACTAAATTAATATGTGAGCTAACTGAAAATACTTGAGAAGTTACTTTGAGAACAATGTTTCAACAAAGAATATTTCACCCAGTGTTAAGATCACATTTTCTTATAAGTGGTGGCTAGAAATCATTTTCTGAGTGACTTCAAGAGGATAATTTTTAGGTCAATTCCTCCAAAATAAAGTTCTTCAAGAAAAGATCATTCAGTTGCATTTCATAACTTCCAATTAACATGCAACTGGGTTCTGCTTTGTAATGCCAATGTAAAGCCATAACACTGTTGTTACTGTGTGCTAATATTTGTTTCACTGAAGAGCTTGGCTCTGACCTTTTGCTATGCTTTTAAGAAAGTAAATAACTTGTATGTTAGGCTTTTAAAATGTATTTTGAAATAGTGGGCTTCATCCTTTGGTTAGTAGAATTTTAAATCAAAATAGCTTCTTAAAGTGGAAACGTGTAAATATTCTATTCAATATAAAATTCATAGTAAAAGATGAGTAATGAATGCCTTAAAGTGAGTGGATCCAAGCAGATGGCAGCTCTTGGAACAAACTGCCTGTGAGAGGAATCTGGAGGTGACCTCTTCATGATGATCTGTTAACTGCCCTGCACAGGTGTCCAGCACTGTGGCTGAACATTTGGCACATTCCCTCCAAGACTGCTCAAACATCCAGGAAATCTTCCAGACTTTGTATTCACATGGATCTGCTATCTCTGAAAGTAAAATCCGAGAGTTTGAAGTGGAGACAGAAAGATTAAATAGGTAAGGTGGAAAGTTAGGTATAGTCAAACATGTTGTCTGCCATTAGCTTTGTTAAAGTTGCTGTTTTTCTTGATCACTCCTTAGTTCAGTCCCAGCTCAACTGTGGAAGCTGCACCTAAACATGGAATGTAGTTGATGAAGATTGAATCTTATGCTAAGGGTTCTTTCCGTTAGTGCAACAGTTGGGTCGTACGTTGTTAGATAAGCATGGCAACTTCTACAGTTCGCACTGTAGAGTGTCCTTTGTAGCTGGCCAAATAGACATAGCATCTTTTTTCGTAAGACACAGCACTTAAAGAAATAGAGATTCACTTATTCGCTGTCATTCTGGAATTAACTTTCTTTGTTTTGTCCTAACAAAACAGAATTATAGCGTTAACTGTATCAATGGATGTACTGTTTTGTGGTGGTGTGGCATCTATAGCAGGAAATACTCTTCTATCTGCAGAAGAGATTTTGTAACTTCCTGGTTCAAGTTAAATTACTGCTGGTTGTCCTTCAATAAGCAAATCCTATCAAAACCAGCACTTCATGTCCTCTTTGGCACATAATATCAAAACTGTGCATCGGGAGCATGAGAGTCATGTCTCAGCATGTTTCCTTCCAAGTCCTCTCTTCCTCACAGCCATCTCAGATTTAGTTTGATCAGTATAATCTCTCTTTTATTTGTAGCTCATGTTTTTGTAGTGCTGCAAAATGTGATCCTTTTTTGCTTTCTTTTTTTCATGCACTGCACAATTAGGCCTTGACAGCATGCATCCTTGCAGGAAGTATCAAAGAAGGGATAGGAGGTGAAACATCTGAGAGTTCTAGCAGCTAGGAAAGTTAGGACATTATTCTGATCATTGAATAAATGGTATGCTGGGCCTTCTCCTCCTTCCTGTATTTATTAAGAAGTCAGTAATTTCTGAATGGCACTAATTTCTTCATCAGCTGCCTGTCCACATTTTGAAATCATTTGCCTGTCTTTTCAGTGTGTGTCCAACTTTTATAATTAGATGTAGTACATGGAGGTGTAGTGCAGTTACTAGCAGTCAGAATAACCAGTAATACTGATGTTCTGAAGCTTCATTTTCAGATTCAGTGTTAACCTCATTGAGAAGAATATTACAGTTAAGTTCTGATATGAGTTTCTGTTGGACTGTTGAGCTTTTGGAGATTTCACTGCCTCGTTGAAACTTCATTTTCAAAGTTACCTCTGTAATCACAGCCAAAATAGTACTTCAAGCAAAATGTTTATTCTGGGTGTTCCAGAGAAAGGGGGCGTTTATGCAGCTGCATGATCCCTGCACACACCCACACATGGCGCTAATGAATATGCCACTTAAAACAAGAAGCAAATGTGGCAGCAGGAAGTGAGGAATGGAGGCAGAAAAATGAGCAAAAGGTTAATATGGAACTGCCCTACGTGGTCTTTTGGCTACCAAAAAAGGGCACAGCTTTCCGCTTGCTACTGTTGCACAGGGTTATGATTACATTTTATGGGAAGGAGAGAAGAAGTAAAAGAGGGTGTCCTAGGAGAAATTACTTTCCCCTTGGCTCTTGATATGGGGCACAGAACTGATAGATTTTGCCATCTTCCTTAAAAGCCTAGTGTAGACCAAACAATATTTGTTGTTTTAAATTATTATTGTTCTAGAGTTTTCATGACAGTGTCTGCAAGGTAAGCTTGAAGTTTACAAATTACTTCCTTTACTGCAGCCGAATTGAGCACTTGAAATCCCAGAATGACTTGTTGACAATAACACTGGAAGAGTGCAAGAGCAATGCTGAGAGGATGAGCATGCTTGTTGGGAAGTATGAGTCCAATGCCACAGCTCTGAGGCTTGCATTGCAGTACAGGTATGTACCTACAGAGAGAATATCTCAACAGGAAAAAGAGGAAGCAGGGGAGGCTTGGTAGAAGTCTTTGAGAGTGAAATTGTTTGTGTGCCCTATTAATGCTGTTCCTTTTTGTGCCCTCACTGAAGAAATGCCCCTTTGCTTAAATTGCTTGACAAACTCCAGAAGTGAAGTTGTTGGTACGAGTGTATTTCAACCCTAGGTCACCAGCAGTAGTGAACTTGGTCTAACAAAAATAAACAGATTTATCTTTTCATTTTAAAACACTTAATTCGGATTTGAATTTAGGAGTGGTATGCAGACTTGAACTGTATCCAGTATTAAGATACAAGTTCTCTCTGTTAGACCTGGACCTTTCAGAAGACCAGGGGACCAGAGAGTAGTATTGTACTCCACATAATTCAGAGTCACTTTATGTTTCATCAGTTGGAATAGTGAATGAATTGCTTGGTATTTGGTTACAAGTGTCTAAATGTGCTTTTGACTATGTATATAAAGAAGGTGTTGTTTAACTCCTTCAGCTGCGCCTGATTTGAAACAGGCAGCTCTGGTCTTTAGACAATTTGTGTGCCTTTTAAAGAATGTATTCTGTTACTATCAGCCTTGAGCAAATTACAAGTAATATATTAATATATTTTCAAAAACATTAGAATGCAACAGGAATGAGTGGCTCACAGCTGGATTTAGAAGCCATTGTGCTGTAGGGAAGAAAATCTTCCAGCCAGAGCAGAGAAACAAATACTTTTGTCTTTTCTTCTTACTTACTTTGTGTGGTCTAATTATATAGTATAGAATACAGTAGTTTGTATAGTGAGAAGGCATGAAAAAAGTTTCTCAAAGAAGTCACGCCAGCTACCATTCCTATTGTTACCTGTTCATATATGCTTCTAGAGCTCACTTCACATCAGGTCATTCTCTTCTGTTTTAACTTGTTACATTACTTAAGGCCAAACTGGGATCATCGTAAGGAAGGAGAGATTGTTGAATGCTTGTGATAGCAGCTATGTGTGTTATTTTGTTTAATATCCCTACTGGTAGACAAGTGGTAGGGAATCAAGCAGTTCATCAGCTACCTCCATCTTGTTATTGCTGTTGCAGGTATTCTTCCCTTATGAGTTGTGGTTATGTTTTGTGTGATTATTTTCTGGGGTTTGTTTTCTCTTTCAGTGAACAGTGCATAGAAGCATATGAGCTCCTGCTGGCATTGGCAGAAAGTGAGCAGAGTCTCATTCTTGGGCAGTTCAGAGCTGCAGGTGTTGGTTCTGTTGGTAAGACAGCAATGAATCACTTCATTTAAAATTCTTTTTTTTTTACATCTCAGTTAACATTAGAGTTAGTTATAACTGTGAATCATCTCATGACCCGTCACTTAGGATGTTCTCTAGTCTTTTCTTGTCTTTAACTAATTAAAACATTTTATACACACACAAAAAATAGGGGAAAAGTAAAAGAGACTGGAATTAAATCATAAAATTCACCAGCAGTTTAAATCCACCTACATATACTATCACAAGGGGTATGCCTGTTCGAGCAGTGATGAGATATCCAACTATACTGAGTGGAATTATTAGACAATACTCATAAGCATATGTGACTTAGGGCCATACAGCTGTGGTAAGTGCAGGTATAGATTGTCTGAACTAGCCACAACCCTAGAAGTTGAGTGTAGTTAATGAAAAACTGGAGTGAAGATACAATACTAAGGTAGCACTGAGTAGTTAAAAAAAAAAGGCTTTAGATTTTCACCCTCCATTTTATCTTTGCTCTGAAATTCCAAAACATTCTGTCTTATGTTAGTACTACTGTGTTGCCAGGAGTAGTTAACAGTGGATAGTTAATCTTGTGGCTAGGTGGTGGCTAGCGTTTTTTAATTTGCTTCTTGGTAAGTAATGGAATGAGCTACAATGGAATGAGATACGGCTCAGAAGTGTTTGGACCTCAACGTTGATGTTGGCTCCACTCTTCTGTTGGAAAGAGACAATTACACAGTGAAGATTAGTCTGGATTTTATAGTCCCTTTCCTTTTACTGATAGCAAAAGATAGTTGTAGTAATGGACCAACACCGAGGTCGTGGGTTCGATTCCCGCTTGGTCCCCGTGTGTTGCCAGGTCTAGTCGAGAGGTGGCGTCCCTGCCCATGACAGGGAGGTTGGACTAGAGGATCTCTAAGGTCCCTTCCAGCCTAGGCCATTCTATGATTCTATGATCTTTAAGTAGAAAGAGGGATAATCTTCAGAGAGCTAGTAACTCCGCATGCTGTGCTGAGTCATAGTAACTGCCTGGTCACCATACCCCTTATTTTGTATTTCTCCAACAGCTAGAAGCACGCCCTTGTACACCTTTCTTGGACTGTGCGGTGCGTGCCATACACTAAACATTAGAGATTAGTCTGGGATTTTCGTCCACTTTTCTTCCAGACCTTGGTCATTCCTTTCCGTACTGTAGTATGGAGCTTTCACCACTGGTGGAGATCATTGCCAGCAAAAGTCAGTTTAGTCTTGGATTTTCTATTCCCATGGGTGGCAGAAAGAAATCTGAGAAGGAAGAAATACTTTGGATTTGAGTAGCATTTCATCTTGCATAGATTTTATGATAGTGAATGTAGGTTTTTATATGTGTCTGTCTACAGCTCTTAATTAAGATATTATTGATTACAGACCTGTGATACAAATAGCACAAATTTCCCATTACATACAACAGCTTGGAGGAAGTTGTGTTTGAGTTATGTGTCTTCACTTCACCATGAAATTTGATTAAAACACCTAGATAAAGGAGTAGATTTCTGGTTTGAAGATCAGTCAAGTTCTATATCAACATCTTGGAGTGGAAAAATCATGGGAATTGCTTCTGCATCACTTAAGAGCTGAGCATATTCAGCTGCTCTTAACAGAACATTCTCTGTTCCTTCCTTTCTTCAGCATTAATGTTATTCCTAGTGCACCCACTTCACTTAGCAAGTGTGAAGAATGGGTAATTGGTCTTTGACTCAAGTAAGGATGAAATGAAAATCTGACATAGAGCAAATTGAGGAGTTTTTGTACTCCCTGACATGTTTGCATTATATTTGTTTAAGTATGAATATATTGTAGCTTTGTTCAGACTCTGTGTAACTGCTAATGTGTCTTACTTTAATTACTTGTCTCCAGCTAGATTTAGGACAATAAGAATAGTGACAGTAGTAGTTTCTGTCCTGCATCTGATGAAGGCATGGCTTACTAGCTGCATAGATGCTGCACAGCCACTACAAATTATAGCAAATTAATGAACACCCCTGCTAGTTTTCTTTTGGTTTAGTATGCATGACTGTAAACTCTAAAAGGCAGCTTCTAAGCGGTAAGACAATTCTTCCAGCTAGAAAGGTAACCTCCAAGAAGGTGTTCCGGCAAACTGTTGGGCTTGAGATAAAAGTGCTTTTGAGAAAAAGCACTGGAAGCGACCACACTATGAAACAGCACCGGACTGATTGGAGTAAGGGTGTAATTCAGGCTGAGGCATTCCCAAAGTGCTGTTAATTCAAGTGTCCTAACCTAGTGCACAACACACACCCTTACAAACAGACAAACTGTCTTAAGGTGAAACATCAGTTAAGACATGCACCTGGAGCAGCAAGTATCTGGAGCTTGTGGCTGGGAGAGAGATACATTTAGGCCAGTAGCCCATTTACCACTGATACTCACAACAGAAGTGAAGTTGCTTTTACATCACAGATTGGTAGTTTATTGTCATCATCTTGGTATAAACTGAGAGTATGTGGAAGAATCTCTATTCTTGCCTTAATTTCTGTCAACCTCCTCAAAGCTCTGAAATAGACTGTTTTCTTGAAAACTAGGGGACCAGACGGGTGATGAAAACATCACCCAGATGCTTAAGAGAGCTCATGACTGCAGGAAGACAGCTGAGAACGCAGCGAAAGCCTTGCTGATGAAACTAGATGGGAGCTGCGGGGGAGCCTATGCAGTCACTGGCTGTAGCGTGCAGCCCTGGGAAAGCCTGTCATCCAACAGCCACACAAGGTAACTGCAACTCGTCTGCTCTCCTGATTCCCAAGGGTTTGATTTTAGACCGAAAGTTATGCTGTATTATATTTGCTGAACTACCTCCCTCACCTGACTCCACTGGCTTCTTTGCTTTGATTTTTAAGTCACCATGCCTCAGTGGTCTTTAGACTTTGAGCAACTTCAGTCAAGAAGGGCTTTTGTTGAAATTTGTTGCAAGTGGGTGACTCTGAACTTTGATCTTCTTCATAAAGGGCAAAACCATTACGTTTGTCTTACTTCAGTGACTTTCTTGCTGTGTTGCTGGAACTCAAATCTCGTAGTTCTTATTCATATCTATTGTATACAGACAGCACAGATGCACAGAGAACCAGAGATCAGAAGTATGCTTCCATCAGCAAATTAGAGTTGTTTTTCAAATGTTGCAAATCCAGCCATTTTGTTTTAAACCATTTCCTCTCATTTTATTCCCCTTTTCCCCTCCAAATTATTCCTTCACTTGCTTTTCTTTCACATGTGGAGACGCAAATGAACATCATGACAGACAGCGTGGATTCTTCCAGGAAAGACTAGATGTTGCAGTTTTTCTGAAGACCTATAAAATAATGAAACTTAAATGAGCTCTAATTTCAGAAATGTTCCAGTTCAAATACATCTGCTAGCAGCTTCATTTTGAGCTGTTGCCTGCCTGCAGTGTAATTGTACTCTATGCAGTGAATATGGGTGCTTGTGTATGCATACGAATTTGGCAAGCATCCTGGATAAATATAGATTAGCGTTTTTCTTTTTTCAAGGTTATTTTGGTTTCTCAGATTCACTCTAAAACTTCATTTTAATTCAGTTTTTGAGCCAGTTCTTTATTCAAATGCTGTAATTTTTTTGACACTTTTAGAAGTTTATTTTCGTACTATATCATTTCCTCTTCTTGCTGATGCCTCCTCCAAACTATCTTAGTTCCTGCCACGTGACTAGCATGGAATAGCTAAAAAGTGAGAAGAAAGGTAATCTGAGGGAACAGGGTTCAAATGTGAGGTAAATTTTAAGGTTTTATTTAAACTTCTGTGGTGTACTTTCAGTCCAAGAAAGCTGAATCTTTATTCAGAAATTAATGTGGCGGCATCTGCATGAGTAACACATTGATCGCTGATTATGCCAGAAGTGTTTACTGGCCTTGGAAAGAAGTTAGAAAAAGCCATTTCAAACACTTGCCTCAATCTACATGAACTTATGCCACATCTACACCTGTGTGTGGACCTGTGGTGACCACATATCGCATCATCTCTACCTAGACTGAGCTCATTTTCCATCCTATTGTTTGAAAGGGTCTTTTTTTTTTTTTTGCAACTACCTCAGTACTTCTCTTCTTTAGGAGATATCTGATATGTATCTTGTTTAGTTGTGGTGTTGGGCGATATGGTTTAGGGGATGAGCTTCTTAGAGCAGAGTTAATGGTTGGACTCGATGACCTTGGTCTTTTCCAACCTGAATGATTCTGTGATTCTAAGGTTTTGTGCTTTGTTTTTTTGCTTGAAAACAATTTAGATAGTTTCCCATATTGGCGGGAGGAGATTAGTGGGGGGGATTGTGAGGATGTTCCTGTTTCAGTGTTTGTTCACCTAGTCTTTCACTGAAAGTATTTGGTAGGAATATAGTGCCTACAGTCCTTGCTTTGTTGCATGTCATTTTTGAATTTCCGAAGGGGAGGGTAAGAATTGAAAAAGTGTGTGAGTGTGTGTGTGTATGTCTGTTCAGAAAGTCATCCTTCGTGCTCATTGTTCACCATGAACTTTTGCTTGTCAGCTGACAATGTGTGTATTTGTGCATGTAACATGTTGGCTGAGTAGATTAAGTTTCAGCACAGTATGATTAAAATGGAATAGGATTTCAAATTTCATCAGTATAAACTGTCATGAAATATAAAAATGCAAATGCTTCACTGTGCAAGAGAGATGTTTCAGCTTGAGTCATTATGCTTGAGGGGTAATTTTTTCTGACATGGAGCAAGATACTGTACTGAATAAGTTAACTATTATTATCTGCTTTGATATATGTGGAACATGAGAGAGAAAAGCTTCTCTCACTCACCCAAAAGGCACACAGCAAGTCAGGAACTTGTCATATGGGCATCTTGGTCTGATCATCAGTTACACATTGTCGTGCCTCTCCCCTTCCCCCACGCCCACTGTAATTTGTCTTTGTCTAGACATACGCATCAGTGAAAATGCTTCAGAAGCTTAAGCTTCTCCCTGAAATACAAATCTTCTCTCCTTCTATTGTGTTCAAGTGACATGTGGTAGAGGTGTTTTCACGTTTCTCTTTCCTGTGGACCTTGTCTCAAAATAGAGGCATCTCCTCTTCAGGCTACAGGCATGTGACACTGTGCCAGCCCCACGGGTCGAAAATCTATGTTGGTTCAAAAGTCATACATGTGTCTATGTTTCTATCAGTGAATTTTCTATCTCTTATGTTAAAAATTCGAGATTTTGTCTTAAATTCTATCGTTCTATATCCTTTTTGTTTCTCCCCAGCACGCTACTCCTGCTTTTTGGAGTTTTCCTGCCTATGATGCCAGCTCTCTCAGCCCATTCATGCATGCTCCCGTGTTACTTGGCTCCCTGCTGCTCTAGACAGATATCCCATTGCCACAGACCTCCAGCCCTCCGTCATTCTTTGATGTTCATGGTTTCAATTTCTTTCCTTTTCCATTACCATAGCAATCCAAGCAGTTAGGAAAGCAAACTGAGGATTCCTAACTGTTTCTGCAGGCTTAATGTTTTTTTATTTGTCTTAAAGAACTTGGCAGTCTGTAAAACTAGGGAGTAGAACAAGCCCACATCACTAGTGAGTGCTGTGTGTACCACCATTTGGGGAGCACTGCACTGAAATGGAAACATTTTTATGTTAAGTGGTTCAAACATACTCTGAATTGGCAAGACTGATCATTTGCCTTAGATGTTTTAGCGTTGCAGGCTTTTAGATGCAGCCATGTATTGCTACCTTTGAAACCAACTGAGTGAAGAGGTAGTGGGATGGTGGAAACCCTCCTTTGCTGCGACTTACGACAAATGAGTAATTCTCTCTGCTGTTCAAAATCCTGTAGAATAGGGGCTTATAATGGAATTGTTGACCCATCTTTAGCTTTGGCATTTCAAATGAGATTCTGAATGTCAAATCACTGAATGCATTACTGAGAATAAATGCTTGGTGAGCCACTAGTGACAAGTGGTTAAAGACTGTGAAAGGGAGCAGCTGAAATGAAAAGAAATGAAATGCAATGAAAGACCATCACACAGGTTGTTACTGGTGAAGTGAATAAAAATAATAGCAATCATCTCAACTCATTTGGCTGGCAGCAGCACGATAATGTTGCCGATTCATTTTTTGAAAATAGAAATAGGTCTGCAGTGTTGGAAGTCATAGTTACTTTAATGGACAGAAGCTAACTATAGAACATATATTGGCAACAGTCTGACTGATTGCACCTTAAAAAGAAGGAAACAGAAGGGCAGTTGTAACACTGACTAAAAATGGTGGATTTTATTTCCTACAGTGCTGGTAAGCCCAACCTTACATCTGGATTTATGGAGGAAAATATCTGGTCACGTATATGCAAAGGAAATTATTTTCAGTATTATGCAGTGTCACAAAATACCTGAACTGAGCCAAACGTAGGACTATCTCTCTCATCAGAATCACCTCAGATTTCACATGAGTGGCAGACAGGCAAGATCCTTGTGGCTGAAGTGTGCAAATAAATTATTCGGAAATACCCAAACAGATGTCTTAATGTTAATAACTTAACACTTTATTGCTGGACCAAACTAGTCTCAGAAGGAAGCAGGGTAGTTTCACCAAAGGTTCTGATTTTAGCCAAATACACTGGTGTTTGTCTTTGGGCTGATTGTATTATTTTTCAGTTTGTCAGGAAGTTACTATCTTTCAGCATTGTGCTGTTTCAGATCTCAAGCCCCAGCATTGAAGTAAAAGATGGTTGGCCCACGTACACTGTGTATCAAATGCATTCTCTAAAGTAGCATTGAGACATTCAAGCAAGTTTTGTGGATTCAGTTCTAACAGTGTTACTCTAGTTCTATAAACTTCTGTATTATCTCCACTATTGGTTAATTGCAGAATTATTTCTTGACTTCATTTTTAACAGATGGACCAGAGCTTATACAGGGATTTATGCACAAAATTTTTTAGTGTTCAGAAAGTACTCACACAGAGGCACTGTCAGAAAGCCTCATTTATATCCATCGCTTGCATCTTACACAGATGCATTTGCATGTGAATGCACACATGCATGCCATCAAATAAAACTACACATTGCTCTACAACAACCTGCATGTTTTCCACAGGCTGTATATGAAAATTAATTTGACATCACCCAGGCATGACATCATTGTAAGAGACTTAAGGGATGAAGCAAGTGGGAAGAACATCTCTCTTTGCTTGTTCTGTGTACAACAGCAATGAGAAGGAGCAGATTGATGCTATGTTCCCTCCAGGTGTGATGAAATTGTGAGCCTTTCTCGATCCTTACCTACACGCTTGAGAAACAAGAAACTGCACAGCTTTTGCAACAGTCTGACGTGGGGTTTTTGGATGGATGCATTATACTACATATGCGTTCTGTTGGTTCGTTTTCCTTTGACCTAATTGCTGTTAGAAGGGAGAGCGATATATGAAATTCAGGATCATATGCTCACCAGCTGTGGACCCTTAAATAGAGCAGCAATGGGCTAGTGTTACGGCTGCGGAGAGCTGTATGGTGGGGCCGTTGGGGAACACACCCTGGCAGAGCTGTGTTGTGGGAGGTCAGAAACACTGCAGCATAGTTTCCATCACGCAGCCTCATTTTTGCAACAGTCCAAAGTGGGCTTTTTACCCTGGCTTTCTGAAAACTGTGCTGGTTCCAGTCTTCTGGATGGGGTCTTGCTGCTAGACGTGTGGGGAGAGGGATGGGTCTTGACCCTTTCTGTGTGCCGGCTGAGACAAGTTCTTCATTAAGCTCCTCTCACCTTCTTAAAAAAAAACAGAAAGGGGAAAGGAGAGTAGAGGGGAAAGAGAAAAAGAAAAGGAGAAGGAAAAGGGCTTGCTGGTAGTTCACCAAAGCAGCCAACTCTGCTGCAGACAGGCAGGCAGACAGGATTGAAGTAAAAGTGGCCTGAGTAACACTGGGAACGACCTAGACTGCCTTCCTCAGTTTGGACTTCCATCCTCTGAAATATACGTGCATAGCCGTGGATCTGTACGGGCCAAAATCTTTTTATATGCCATGAGTACAAGGTCCAGCACAACGTAACAATAGACTTTTGTCATTTTTGCTTAGGTTTCATTCCCAGCAGGAGATCTAGGTTTTCTTTCCTTTGCAAGTGAAAACTGAGATGAGGTCTTTGTGTCCCAGGATTTGAAGCCTTAGCCTTTAAAAGCTGTCCTTCCTCCAACAACAGCTGTTTCACATTTAATCCAGAAAAGCTGTGCAGCTGCTGTCTTTGGGTGCAGAGGAAACTTGCAGTATGACTTCAGTACAAAATAAAGTATTTCTCGTATAGTCTATCTCCATGAACTTTATATCAGTGTCTGCTTCGGAGAGGTATCGTCAGACTCCATAAATCAAGATTTATTGTTTCAAGATTCTCTAATGAAGAGCTAAGTATGAAGAAAAATTTATTTCAGTCTGAAAGGGGTTTTATATAGTGTAGGTACTGAGTATTTTTAGCTTCACTGCGAATGGAAATGGATGAAAACAAAAGCAAAGACCAGTTAACGCTTGTGGTAAATATGACAGCTATTATCCCTAATAAATTGAAGGAATAATGGGAAATTAACAGAGAACTGTAGTAAAGAACCATAATGCAATATTTCATGAGAGGGAAGGATTTTGAGAAATCTTTGTAGACCTGCCAATTTTTCATCTACTCCAAGGCTGTGCTTGGAGTTTGTGGGAAGATTGGCAATTATTTGAGGCACTTAAAAATCAATGTAACTCTAGATGAAGTAGAAGCAAAAAAAAAGAGAGAAAAATCAAGCCTATCTTGATAGGCTTCCACTTTTTCACATGCATAATGTATTTTAGGACATGATCCTGACTCTCACAGCACGTAGCGGGTGGGGCTTTCTTTCTTCCTACAAAAATGTTGAACAGCAGTGCAATTTGATACAGAAAGTGATTTATTCCCCTGCTGATAACTGAGATCATCTAGCATTCCAGACAGGCACAGTTAATGGATGACTTATCCCTCACCCGGCAGCTGATTACAGGACCTCAGGAGACAGCAGGCAGCTTTGAGTGAGGTTATAGAAACAACACACTTTATTTTCCTTTTAGTGTTATTGCAACTATATTCAGCCCTGGAATGCTATGACTGTATCAGTCTCAGACCCCTGCAGCACTGGCATGTGTGTTGGTGTATAGCCAGCACTGAGACACCTCAGTGTCTTTAAGACATTAGTTCTCCCTTTCTACCATCCCTGTGTAAACATCTCTGTGTAAACAGACTAATGGGCGGTCAGTTGTTTGATGCCTTTAGAGGAGAGAGTTTACGCCAAGTCTGATGATAACTTTTTATTTAAAATTCTGTTAACTTCAGGGTCTCTAGCCCTGAAGGAATGACAGCATACCTTACCATGAATTGAAAGTGGTACATCCTGACGTCTGCCAGTGGAATTTTACTCACTTTGATTCCAACAAGTATCCATTAAAGTATGTGAGACGGTAACTGGTATTGCCATCAGGATAAATAAATGAGTTCTAGGATTCATTTTTCTTAGCAGACGATGAAGACTTAGTGTCCAGGCAGAAGGGAGAATCTTGCCCTGCTAGCATATTGCCAAGAAATCTCAAGTAGCTGCTGTTTTCGTTTTTTTTTAATTAAAAAAAAGACTTGTTTCAGAAGACACCATTCTAGAAAAAATACTTCAATTACATGTCACTAAATATCTGGCTTTGCAGAGAAGTTGTCACATGCTTAAATGTTCTAATGCAGCTTAGAGAATTAATTTCTTTTCTGAATTTGTCACACTCCTCCGCATCTTCTGAACACTGCAATGTCCAGTCCATGCTACATGTGTCCTTTCTGTGAACTTTTAAGTAAGACTCGGATGTGTTGATGAAGTATTGAGAGAGTATTTTATGTAAAAATATAGATAATGTTCCAGTTTTTTTAAATACTGTTCTTTCTCTTTCCAGTACTACCAGCTCAACTGCAAGCAGTTGTGATACGGAATTTACGAAGGAGGATGAGCAGCGACTCAAGGATTACATCCAGCAGTTGAAAAATGACAGGGCAGCAGTGAAACTGACAATGCTGGAGCTGGAAAGCATCCACATTGATCCCCTTAGTTATGATGTTAAACCTCGTGGAGACAGCCAGAGGCTAGACCTGGAAAATGCAGTCTTGATGCAGGAACTTATGGCAATGAAGGTATTTTATTTATATCCAGCAGGCTACCTGCACTGCTGACAGTGCCACTGTGCTACAAAACATGCTGGGACACACACATGGGAGGCTTTGATAGTGATCTGTGGGTAATAAAGGGTAACTTTATGGAAACAAATAATCAAGGCTAAAAATCCAGTAGTCAGGAAGTGACAGAAGGCAGTGCATTAATAGTGATGAGCTGCGTGTGTTTTGAATTAGACGAGGACTTCATCCGTGGCTCTAAACTTGGAATGCTCTCCTTGACAATCCAGATGCTCTCTTTAAGAGTTGCTTGAGGGTGACCAAAAGCATGATACAGCACTTCCCAAGAGACAGTTCATTATTTTACTTACCGGCTTGAAAATGTGCATTTTGAATATTTGTGAACGGAAGCAGATCAAATTCACCTACTCTTAATATTGCCATGGGAGGAGGAATGGTCTGTCAGAAGTGATCATCCCTGATGCTCTCCAGCAGTTGGTGACAAGTCCAAAGCTGTTCTAGGCCCTGTGTTGCAATCCCTAGCCCAGTTCAGAGCCTGAGCAAAGAGTCTGGGCTGTAGTGACTTGCAGTAACAGAGGTGTTCGGAGAGAGCTCTGGTCCCTCAAGCATGATTTATATATCCAGTTCTAGACATGATCTAGCAAAATTGGCTTTTGTTGACCGGGTATAGAGCTTCTGTCGTTTTAAGTCTGGCTTCTGAGTTGACTTTGAGAGAGGTGAACCAAAACACAGGAATACATTAAAGGTAATACAGGCACATGTCCGCATTTAGAAATAGTCTGGGTCTGGTTTGTTTTAAATAAGTTTAGTTTCTGCATGGTAGCAAGTCCTATTTCAGTCAACTAATGGCAAACATGTCAGATGGTGGTGTCATGTGGTACAGCAAATCCTAATATTTTCATAAGCTCCTAAAGCTATAGATTTTCGTTCAGACGTGCTACTGCTGGCTAACCGATATCTTAGTAGTGATAGTTCTGTTCATAGTCATGCTCCCTTTCCACGATAACAATAAAATTCTGCAATCTGCAGTTCGGAAAAAAGATTGCCTGCTACCAATTAGATGGTTTTAAGTCGTATCGTGGACAACAACAATGTATTTCCAATAATTAAAGCATGCAAGATGTACTGGAAGACATTTGTAGAGAATTAGGTGTATATTTCAGGTATTGCACTTTCTTCTCCTCTTTTGCATACAGATCTTAACTAAATCTCTTGTACACGCATTTTACCTCTGTCTTTAGATTGATTGGTAAAGGCAGACTGCATACCTATTCCTTGTGAGTAGTGCCCTTGCATTCCCTGACCTGGCAGGAATACCAATAGTTGCATATCATGATTTCTGGCACAGTTTTGAGTGCTGATAATCCTTAGTTCACTGAGTGATCTTCTGAGTTTTTTGACATGTGATATCCACTCATAACTTTTGGATGGACTTAGCACATTGGGGTTTTATTGCAGGAATTGTTCCAAGAAGAAGAAACTTTTCTTCTTGGTTGGTTTATGTGCAGTACGTGATAGAATAGACACACATTTTACATAGGTGGCTAACGTGACCTTCAGTCCTTTCTGGTACAGAGAAACTGATGGTACTGTCACTCATTACAATTTATTTTACTTTGCTGGAATTCACAACTGCAGGAAATCCCTAGTTTCTGAAAAGTATATGGTGAAAACTCAAGCTTGTAGAAACCTGGAATGGATTTGTTGTTAAGTGTTTTCTTGGTACAGAAACTGACAACTCCTGCCTGTCACATAAAACATCGCAAAAGACACAGCTACACTCTGCATACTTTGGTCCCGAGAGAATGTGCTATGTTATTAGCATCTGTGGTTATTGCTCAGGTCTGCATTACACCTTGCTCGTATCTTCAGCAAGGTGTAATATAGCTGAACCTAAGGGCAGGGTTCTTGGACGTCTCGACTTTCAGAGTGTTATTGTTGGTATCCATTATTTGAGACATGTACCTCATACAGAATTGCATATGGATCTGCCACCTTCTGAGGCAACTGGAGAACTTAAATTTCCTTACAATTTATTTGACTTGAAGCAAATAGACTTATTTGTGCTGCAGAGGACTTTATCACATAACAGCTCTTAATTTGTTTCCTCCCTTCTGCATTCTTAGCAAGGATGATACAGCCTGGTGGGGCTGCTCAAGGATTTCCTACATTGCTAGGTCTTATGACCTGCTGCTGTTTTCCTGAAGTTTGTATCCATGTTGGAATCTCTGCTGCATCTTTCGGCACCTTTTATTTAGGAATTCCCGTAAAAACTGATCAGTCGTGCTGCTTCTTGCATCTATGTTACGCTGATAATGTTCTCAAAATGCCTGTACAATATTAGTTTTTCATTATTGATGAAAATGATGCATATAAAGATGATTTGGGGATGGTTTCTCTGTTGCCCTGTTTGGTTTTTTTTGCTGATCCAGAGGGTAAGACATAGTGGTCCGCCAGTACTTCTGTAAAATCCAATTCTTTGCTTCAAGCAATAATTAACCATGTTTCCAAATATATTCCCATCTGTGGTTTGTCATCACTCACTGGTCTCGCTTTGAGGTCAGTTGTTGTCATGCCCCAGTTAGCAAGGAGATTGCTTCTGGTGGGTGTAAATAATTCTTGATTTACAGCTTTTCTGCATTTCAAAGGACTTAATCTAGATAAGAAGTCTCAGCTTTCTACACTGATAATTTTTCTCTTGTGTACAGGTGGTGATAATATTGCTTATGATCTGCTTTGAGACTATAGTCTCTGTGTAAAATGTTAAGAATCCTGTTGTCCACCTTTGTTACAGCATTTCATGCTCTTATAGAAGTATGTGGTAAAATACAGTTAACGAGAGCATGACATTTATCTGCTCTGATACTTGTTTTACTTCTGAAGGCTACTGTATTTGACATTGTGAACTGTGATCCTCCTGGAGAGTCCCTTACTTGACCTTCAGAACTTTTTGCTGCATAAGAGTCTTTCTGGTTTATTCTTCTGACACAACCACATCTAACACAAATTTTATTTTTGAGGGTGCTGTGGTGGAGTCAGGAGTGCTTAATTTTCATGGAAGTTTTCACCCAAATTCAGAATTCCAATGTGACTGCATGTACAAAAAATTACGTTATATTCATTTGATTAGTCCAAAAATGACTGCTAGATTTGATGCCTGAAGCTTGTGAATTTGCATGGATTGTATGTGTTTTCTGCAATGAGCTTCCTGGAAGAGTGACTGTTCACAACCTCCTCCTTCAGGGTTTCATTTTGTAAATGCCACTTGTGCTTTAGGCCTGCACTCTGAAGAAGCAGATATGTTAAACTGCAAAGTGTTTCACCAGCATCCTGTAATTAGAAAAACCCAGGATATTAAATACACAAAAGTGATGTTGACATTGAAATGAAACTTAGATGCTATCTTTAGAAAACATATTTTGATGGAAAAAATCACTGCATACTTAAAGACTAATAAGCTGTAAGTAAGCCTGAGCAACTTAAATTTTCCCACATGAAGCGTTACTGTTGCCACCCTTCCTCAGAGAATGTGTGTATCTGTACCAGAATCCTCAACTGTAGTTTTATTTTTTAACTTCAGCCTTTGCATTCCTTCCTTTTCCCTCCCTGCAAGTCTCTGTAAGAGTGGTTGGCAGTTCTTCCACTTTTCCCCTGCTTTGCCTTGCCTTTTCTGCTTCAAAGTCACATTGTCCTGACGTGAGAAGACTAATGTGTGGGGCGGGCTTTTGGAGTTCATGATATGTCTTCTGGGAGAGGATGCAGACTTGTGCATTCATATGTGACAATCTAAGCTTGCTGTCTTCATAAACCAAGGGTTAACCATTGATCCTCAAATTTGTTTTGAGTTGGGACATGTAGTGCAAACAAATATCCAGTCTTTAAGTTAAAACTTCTAAGTGATGGGAAAAATCAGTTCCACAGATTCATTGTTGCAGTGGTTAGAGTTATCTTTTCCTTTTAGCAAATAAATATCCCTTATTTCTAGGCTGAATTTACCTAGCTTCAGCTTCCAGCCTGTCATGACCCTCCCACGTAGATAGCCCTCCATCAAGAGTATCTTCTACTCTTATAAGTGCCAAAATACTCTGCTCAAATTACTTCTCAGCCTTCACTACCAGGCTAAGTAGATTAATAGCTTTAGAAATAGAGGCTTAAGGTGCTAAATACCAGACAATCCAGTTCAACTCCTATAACTAAATCTCCCCATCATTATTTATCAGTACTATTTACATTTTTACTTTTGACAAAGGAAATTAGTGATAACTTCTTGTAACAACTAAATTTGTGTGAACTACACTGAGTGAAACTGATTGTTCTTAAAACCTTCAGTTCACAAACAAGCAGTTGAATAAATGAATTCTTTGAAAGTTCATACGCACCTTTCCAAGCCTGAGGGGTTTTCAGGATATGGACTTTATTTCTGCATGGTTGATGATTCTGAATAAGCCAATGATTACCTACGATTACTATATGCTGTTTGTAACTGTGCTACACCTGTATGCACTACTTAAACTTAATCCAGACAGCATATTTTTCATAGGAATATAAGATTCCCTTCTAGAGAAAAAGCCAGTATAAATATGTTCAAAGTTTTGTGTTTGTATAATCCTTGTTAATAATGGATGTGATACAAAGAGCATTCCTTTTGAAGGATAAAGTAAGATACATCTAATATTTTTATGACTTTTTTTAAAAAAAAAAATCAGTGATTTTCTCCTAGGCTAGCCACACAACAGGAAACTTTCATCTTCTGAAGATACTTACACAGTGAACAGTGTAGAACTGAACTGTGATGCAGAAAATGGCTATATGAACTCAGTATTCACTCATCAGGTGACCAGCAAGGTCAACATGATTCTGGGTTGGGGTTATTTTGTTTTGGCAGTCTTCTGTTTCTTAACCTGTGTTTTTTTAAACACAAAATGTAAATTATGTTTTAGGACTGTCTCTTTAAATGTTTTGTGGGTGCTGGGTTTTCCAGGTTTCAAAAAATAACTAGACGTTTTGTAGAAGAAACTTTTCTGAAGTATTGTTAAACACAAAGAGCCTTGTGGTTCAAGATACCCGTCAGCTGCTTTTCGTGGGAGAGAAGGATCACTGCACTCTTGCCTTGTTCTTACACTTCTGCCCAGCCACTGTCAGAGCAGATGTTAAAGCGGAGGTCTGTCCCCATGTAGCAGTTGTTCTGTTAAAATAGTTAAGAGCCCTTTCATAAATACTCGTGTTGGCAGAGGAATGACACACAGGAACTAGCTCTTAGAATTGAGCTTCTTTTATGAAGTACCAGTGTCTGTCTCCTGTGGATCCTATTTATGGAAGAATATAAGTGGGTGCAATTTCATTAACCTCCAGCCATGTATAGTTGGGATTCTGGCTACTTAGAGGAAGGAATTTAAAAACAGAAATCCCGTAATGCTGTACTCAGTTGCCCTTTTTGACTAACTCATTCTACCACAGAGGTAGGTGTTAAAGGCAGAAATATATGATCTGTTGTTGCTGTCCTAGTCCCTCACACCTATTACACTGCAGTGAGATAAACCAGCTCTTAGTTCTTATGTATTAAAAAGAACTTGAAATCTGGCATTTAGGGAGCTGTTCAACAAGAAATTCAGACACTCCTTCAGGCAAAGGTCTCTGAAGGACAAGGCAGAAGTAAAGAAATTTCAGCAGCTGTGGCAGCCCTCCTAGATCTCTGTAGTTTCAGCTTCACATTAGCTGCTCTATTGCCTCTGAGTTTATTTCTGAGGCTGATTAAGGGATGACACAGCTCGTCATACTCACTTAGACTCAAGATATACTGGTCTTTTGACAAATACACTATGTGATTATAAAAAGCATTCTGGATGCCAGTAGTGTTCTCCATGGAAAGAACAATTAAGCAGTAGGAGTGGGCGAACCTTGTTTAACCTTGTCTTCCTTCAGGTATATAGTCCCATGAAGCAGCATGTTGATAATATTTCTTCAACAGGAGGAGATGGCAGAGCTCAAGGCTCAGCTTTACCTGCTAGAGAAGGAGAAGAAGGCCTTGGAATTGAAACTGAGCACTCGAGAGGCACAGGAGCAAGCCTACCTCGTCCATATTGAGCACTTGAAGTCTGAAGTGGAAGAGCAAAAAGAGCAGAGAATGAGGTCTCTCAGCTCAACCAGCAGCGGAAGCAAAGACAAATTGGGAAAGGTCAGGGGTTCAAACAAGTTTCCAAAATCAAAAACAATTCAAAACAATTTATTATAACCCTCCCCACTCTACAGCAGTCTTTAGCATGTTAATTGTTCTTCTCTTTTGTCTATATATATGTCTTCTTCTGTCTTATCCAGTTGTTAGGTGGTTTTTCCATGCTGTGATTTATGAGGACTTTGCAGAATTATTGTTAAGCCTAAGCTGAAATACGATTCATTTTGGGGAGGAGTACAACAAAGCCATTCTTGCCAAATGTAACTAGCTACCGTGGTTGAAGATTTTGTGTCTTGCCTGTTGCCATTCACTGTAAACAGTGGGGAAGAGTCTAAACAAGATGCCATCCTCCCTTACACCAAACACAAAATACAAAAAAAAATGAAATTCATTTCTAGGAAGCAGTTAGAGCATTATAATGACAGTCTCTTTTTCCAAGTCAGACAGTTTGTAATGATTTGAGAATGAAGACATTTCCCCGCTCAGTGTAATGCAAAGTAAACAGATTTCTGCTTTTACAATAGCAATTTGTATAAAGAAACAGTGATAACTAGAAAAACTTTAATGCTGTTATTTTAGTACTGTGTCCCTCGAAAACCTTGGTGATGTTTAAAAAACAAAATCCAAAGCTAGTGTACAACCGTGTCCTTCTTATTTGTTCCTGGCAAAGCGTCATCTGAATTGTTTGATCCAGTGCTTCTTTGTTTCAAGTGTGGTGTTGAAAGAAGTATAGTGCCCCACCAATTAGGTACACTACAGCAAAATTGTGCAAATCAGTTAACTGTGATGGTTTAGCATTTACAACGATGTGTGAAGTGTTAATCCATTAGTTAGTTTCTTGGTATGTTGATACGCTGCCATATTACTGTGACATTGTTATGTTTATTTCACCTCCATTTTTAAAGTAGCTGTGAATAAAGAGGTTTTCAGAGTTTTCCCATTAAGATGGTAAATAACTTCAAATTAGATGTCCTTTCCTCATTTCTCAGGAATGCAGCGATGGCACCGCAACACCATTAACACTAGCTGAGCTGAGACCGTACAACGAGAGTGAACTGACTGCTGAGCTGACAAATGCACTCAGGCGGTAAGCAGCTTCCTTCACCAGAAACATGACTTTTTTTAAGTCCAGGGTGAGGTTTGGTTGTAAGCCTTCACTCTTATCCTCAACTGATTTTAAGAGCAATCACAGATTTTTCCTGTGAGGAGGAAAAGGATTGACATTCTTCTAACTTTAACCTCTCTTTTGCTTCTCATGGTGCTCAGCTCCGTTCTCCTTAAGCTTCTCTAAAATTCTGAATAACTGTATCCCTAAGAAAGCCTCAAAATGTTAGTGATGTCATGCAACGGTATGAGACACAAAGCAGTGGCATGACTTGCTTGAGGGCATGCAGAAAACCTTTATGAGGACAGGATTTGAAGTGTGATCTTTGGTTAAGAAGGTTGGTCGCGGATTAGAGCTTGGGTAGGAGTCATGGGAGTGGGAATTGCAGTGATTTTGATGACTCAGATGCTGCATTTGCCTCCTGAGTACATAAGTAGAGCCAGAGTTCAATTATGAATGACATTGTTGTGTGAAGCATTAGCTTTCCAACGAGAGAGAAAATTGATGTCTTGACAAAATGCTTTTATCAACAGCCAGGTTTTAAGCCAAAGCTTTCAGTACAGTTATACATTAACTAGATACTTGTTTGTGCAGCAGTTTTTGCTGCACCAGCTATGTGATAAGCTTCATGACAAAGATACTTACTGTTTCAATAGTTGTTCCAGTATTTCTTCCACCTTTTCTAAGACATAGCTCTCCGATACTTAGTCTGGTTAACATATTTAGAAGCTGTCCAAAATGCTGCTAAGAATTTTGGCTGGGAGGGGAGTGTATTTTGTTTTTGTGGTGTTTGCACCCTCTTTAATGGTGGAACGTCCTCTCAGGCAGCTGTGGTGTTTCATTCCTGAAGTGCTGTTTTCATAGGTGCAACCTGTGGTGCCTAGGGACACTTAAGCCTGAAAGGCATTATGTAAAAATGTGAGATCATAACCACTGTGTCAATACATCTCATATCATTTGCTTAATAGTCTGGCAGCTGCTGAGTATTTAGTTTTCTTGATGCAGGAAACAAAATTCTGTGGTTAAAATAATCAAAACTGTCATTCGTGTGTGGGTGGATAAAAACCATCAACAAAGTCATTTGCATGAACATTGCACGGAGCCGCTGGCCTCCTCCATACGGCCCACACCCCAGTCCTGGTGCAAGCAGCTCCACTGGCATTTTCCGTCTTCACTCAAGCTGCAGCTTCTTCCTCTTTGTATTATTAGCTCCTGGATTTTGAGAAGATGACAGTGACCTTAGTTAGCAGAGGCTGGAGTGTGTGTTTTGCTGACAACACAGAGAAAAAAATTCTGCTTTATCTACTAGGCCTTAAGTTGATTAGCATGGATTTCCAGCCAGGGGCCTAGCAGAGTACAGTTTGTCAGGCAGAAACAGGGAAGAAAAATAATCGGATTAAACTGTACATAAATTCTGGAGTGAAGACTCTCTGTGTAATGGAAATACGACTATCCTAAATGTGATTGCCACTGAGGCTCAAGTACAGTTCCCGTGAGCTGTGTGGACAGGGTATTTTTCTCCCTAATCAGCATGCCAGCCAAATCAGTCTGAATGCTCAGTCTCCTTATTCTGAAGTCTTCTCTCTGAAAGCTCATGGAAGGGCTGTCTAGCACATGGACAAAGCTTGCTGCAACCTATTTAGTCAGAGCTATGCTAAAAAATACCAGGAGTTCCTAAGTGCTATCCTGGCTGAATGAAGCCACAGATATCACAATGAAATTTATACAATCGTGGATCCACAGGAGAGTTTTAAAAATAATCAAAGTGCATTTTCCTCTCTGCAGATACTAGGACAATGCAGAATGTTCTGAACTGACTGTGGTATCTTTAGGGACAAAGTGGATTTAACCCTTTGCACTTAGCATGTGCCAATCCCTGAATGACTCTCACACTTGTCTGGGAAAACAAGTGCTGGCACTGTATGCGAACCAGGAGAGATCCTGGAGGCTCCCCGTAGCACCCTTCTTACCCAGCAAAGAAGTAGGACCAGAATTCAAAATAAAAAATATATTGCCCAGTAACTATGTTTGCTGGGGGGGGGGGCAGGAGGGAGATGTGAAACAAGAGAATATCTCACGCTGAATCTCTGATCTCAGGGTAAAGGCCAGTGTTCAGGAGTATTTCAGCGCTGGTTGCGGTGAGTGCACACATCCAGCAATTGGACCCGTCAACGCAGTAGACAATGGGGAAGGGGACAGCAGCTGCAAGGATAGAGGAAAAATCCATTTGGTTTTGAGTCTCTCTGTTTGTCACAGAACGTGGTATTAATCAACAACTCTGCCTGCTGCCTGCTCTCTATCCTGTCTTCAAAGAAAGAAAAGCACTGGTAGCTTCCCCCTCTACTGCTTTCCCATTCTGTCCCTCTCTTGCTGCAAAACCGTCAGGTTCTTCTCAGTGAATTGAAATAGAGCAAAACCCAAATAAAACAGTAGGATACAGTTACAGTTGGGATTTTGGTGTGGTTTGGAAACATTTATTTTTACACAGCGTGCAAATGGCTTTGCAGCAGAACAGTCTCATCCACAGAGGTAGCCTGTCTTTTCTCTGCAGATGTGGATTTTCTCGTAAATCTGGAATCCAGTAGCATGTTGTGGAGCTCCCTGAGTTGTTGTCATTGGTGGTGCCTATCAACAGAAATTCAAAGCAGAAGCAGTTCTTAATTTACTTTTTCGTATTTGCTTTATTAGGACTCAGAGTTTCCTGTAGCACTGTACAATATTAAACCCCATCTTACAGGCTTCATGCAGAAATCACTTCTCTTTTCCATGACCATTGTGCTAACTAGTAGAAATGTAAACTATCAGCAAGTTCCATGTTATAAAAGCTACATCTAGGTTACCAAATTTCTGGTATTTCAAGCTAATTTAGAGACATAGCCTGCTCCAGCCAAGCATAAATACTTTCTGCTGGAGTCTTTAGCAATTTTATTTTGCTTTCTCTCCTTTCTTGGTGGAATGTTTTAATGGACATGAAGTCCCTTGAGTTTTTTTTCAAGTTTGACACATCCATTAACGAGCTTGTTGGCCAAAAATACGTTTTTGGCCTCCCAAGAATAAAGTATTCCCAGCAGCCTCATGGCCTGGCACCGACACCTCAAAGATTATGCCAGAAGCCAGTTTTATGAGGGAGGATCTGGTTGAATACCTCAAAATGAGGCACATTACACAGTGTTTGAGGGAGAGCTTAAAATGAGATCTTTCTTGCTAATGTGTTCTTCTCTGCTGTGGCAGGAGAAGGGAGTGCTGTAGATGACTTGTATGAGTTTAGAACTTAGTAGGTACACACTAGGTTATAAATGCATTAGGGATGGCAGGAAGGACGTGGTAAGAATTCCAGATAGCAAATGCTCTTGTTTCAGCAGGGCAATAATAGTGGTGAAATGACTAATCTTTTGGGATTTTTCTGTAAATTTCTTTCATTCTGTGGAGAAAGGCCAAGCTAACAAGGCTGAAACTTCTCCCTCTTCCCAGGCCTTACTAGCAATGCTTTGTTTGTTGAGAACCTCCTGCAGTGTCTCCTTGTATTTCCAGTCCCTGATAGCTTTTCTATCTGCACAGATCTGGATTTTGTGTTTGTATTTAGAGAATCATTTATAAGAAATAAAATATTTGGGCAGGAAGGATCTGACAATACTAGGTAAGGGCCATGGCGGGCAAAATACTTTTTAGCTAGACTGCCTGTTTAGACCTCAGCTGGGTCACTAGTTTGCACAAAATTACGATCTCTGACGGCTGTGCAGGTTTACATGAATTGTGTCAGTCTAGACGTGTTTCACTATCTCCCTCACAAAAGGATCACTGTCTGGCAACACAACAAACAATCTATGTATTTGCCATGTCTGATGACTTTTGAACGGAGAGATAACCTAGTAAGTGATGCCAGTAAATGGGAAGTCGTCATGGAGATAGAAAAGGCTGGTAACCAGCAGCTGGCAAGCAGTTCTTCTCTTACCAAAAAGTATGTTTTGCACAGAGCTATGCTCCTGACTCTAGAACTGGAAACTGTGGGAATTTCTAGTAGAACATAGAAGATTAATCCTGTTGCAATACCTTCCCTGTGTCTGTTGACATAATGTTCTTCACAGTCTCAGGTCCTTACGTGTGCTTGAAGACCACAGCCCTGTCTTGTGCCAAACTTCTTGTCTGAAGAGAGCACCATTTCAGTAGTAAGCTATGCCAAGGCATGGCAATGACTATTTCCTGGCACAGTGTCAGCCATGGGTAAATCAAGCCACCCTCCTTAATTTAACCTTCCACAAACTTCATGTGATGATATCTTTGCTTGGCATGTTTTCAAAGACCACCCTTATTTTCATGATAGCAGGATCCAGCAGTAGGTGGGAGCATCTCTGAAAGTCAGGCTTCACCATCAGTAAAGCTCAGTCTCGTGAATAAAAAGAAAAATGTCTTAAACACGTCATATTGTAATGATTCAGATTTTAAATAGCCCTTAAGAGTTCATAGAATCATAGAATGGCCTAGGCTGGAAGGGACCTTAGAGATCGTTTAATCCAACCTCCCTGTCATGGGCAGGGACGCCTCTCAACTAGATCAGGCTACTCAAGGCTCCATCCAACTTGGCCTTGAACACCTCCAGGGAGAGGCCAGCCACAACTTCTCTGGATGATTTATTCCAGAGTCTTGTTGCCCTCCTACTGAAGAAATTTTTCCTAAGATCCAATCTAAATCTATTTTTCTTTAATTTAAATTCATTTCTCCTCGTCCTATCAGTGGACAGTCTTGTAAAGTAAAAAGTCCTTCCCCAGCCTTCCTGTAGATTTGCTGTCCTTCCTATAGAAGTCCAGCAGAGCTGCTGAAGGAAAAAATACAGATTTGCCTTACACCTGAGAGCATAGGACAGGTGGGTATTTCCTAAACCAGAACTAGGTGGTAGTGTCAAATGTGGCAGGAAAAGCTCCAACTCTTGTCCTAAATGGAGCTAAAAAGTACAAGCTGCTTAATGAAATAGTTGTATAATTTCT